TTCCAGTGCTCCTATAAGAATAAATAAGAAAGAAAGAAAGAAAGACCGATGGAGTACCATGAGAAATGATGAGATGATTTAATAGAAGTCCATGACATAACCTCATTAACCTGTAATTCTGTAAATGCAATCAAGAGATGTATTTTATATATTTAGGTACTATGTGACTGAGTCAGGCTGACTATTTGTATCATAAAAAGGTAGCTAATGAACAGTACGGACGTATTGTAGCCTACTCTATCTCTAACTCTAAGTACCTAACATTTCTCACAGAATTGCTCAATGCTCAGGAGTCAGGAAAGCAGTTGCATCATGCAACTGCTCTCCTGAGTCCTGAGCAATTCCGTGCATAGTGGCAACTGGCAAACCAGAGCTTTTTTGGAATCAGTTCATTTTTAATTTCCTCACTGAAGATTTAAACCAATTTCTTAAGTATGATAATGCTGGTATGGTATTCATGATACTTTACTGGTCTAGGTACCTACTTATAGGACTCAAAAATGAACTTGAGGGAGAGGCTAAAAAACTCTCTGCTTTGTCACTTTCCATGAGAATTGTTACTTAGAGTTAAATAGAGTACAGCACGTCTGTTCATTACCTTAAATTTCCAACTGGGGTCCAAGTCAGTGAAGTCATTTAGTCAAGCCTGATCCAAGACTCCAGCCTCCAGGTCACCCACAGTCCCAGTGTCCCACTCACCTCCTTTTATGGCATATCAATGCTGGTGCCTGGCAGGATTGAAATTTTCCTACTTGTTTCTGAAATATCGCAAGTCGCAGCTCCAGTGTGTGAGTGTGATGAATTTGTAATACAATTGCAATCTTGCAGCCTGATTGTCAGATTGTGCACTTTTGTTAACAATTATATAGGAGGTAATTCATCTGTCGGAAATCTCGTGGTTCCGGAAATGGCAGGAAGCAGGGAAAGCTCTAGTTGCGGCCTAAAATAATAATGCCGGCCTTAATTTAAAGGTAGATGTCTTTCACGCTTGAATGCTGGTGTGAGTGGTGTCCACTGTCCAATGTCCATTCCATCATCCATCCATGATACTGATTGTTTTCTCATAAGGCTCAATTATCCTCAATAAAAATGGTTAATAAAAAAGTATCTTGTTGCCAACATTTGCTACCATGCTGGCATGCACATTGCACAAGGACAACCAGTGTGAACCAGGCATATAATGGTATGCAGGCAGCAGGCCTCCTTGTTTGAGCCATCACTAGACTTAAAGCCTTGATGCCAATGTGACTGTGAGAGCCACAATATTTAACAAAAACTTTTTCAACATTTCTTATAACAGGTTTGTAAAAGTAGGAAACTTGGTATATTAAAATAATACAGTATATCTGTTCATCTATATTAACTTTAAGAAAACATTAGAAATGTTATTTGATGAAACGTGGGGAATTAAGCAGCATTTCAAATCATCAAATCCAAAACAAAATCCCCCTCCAGTCACCAAACATTGTCAATGTCATTGTGTAAGTGGAGTTGGACTGTTGGAGAATTGGAGTGCAATGTGTGCCTGTTGGAACTAAAAGAATCTTCCTTTCCTAGAACTCCACATGCTAGGTGTAGTTTGTATTGGTTATTTACCATAAGTCATTGATTACAATAACTAGAAATAGAAAGGTGCAACTGGAGAAAACTATCTGCCACCATCACACCTTCTTTTCTTTGATACTGGAGAGCACCACTCAGAGCAGTAAGATGTCATTATTGACATGCATTTGGTTTTACCATCTTGCTTAATATTCATGACCCCAGCGCCAGCAGTTGCAATAAAAATTCAGGATAGCTTATTACTTTTGGAAAACTTGAGAAGTTGCCACAATCTTAAATTCCTGATGTCTCAGTGTGAGTGCTACTTTAGTTGCTACCTCCCATAGATATGTTGATGGAATTAACCCTTTAACGGGCAAGCATTGAAATATCCAGAAATTAAAATTTCAGAAACCATTTCAATAAAGTAAGAAGTATTATACAATATATTTATGTCTATGAATTTTTGCAAATTTTGCCTATTGAAGGTTTTAATCGCACTTGAAGAATTCAATAAATGCGATCAGTACACAAAATTTATCTTTATAAATAAAATTCAGTTGATGCAAATTAAAAATTAGAAACATAAAAATTTAATTTGATTAAATTTAATCAAGTTGCCAAATTAAATAAATATATATATTGATACTTCCAAATTTTGAAGAAAATGCGGAAAGAGCGTCAATTCCATTGTCCGAGTCAAAACCTTCATTTAAATGATCATATTTCCATTTGTGGACTTTGCAGCTGGTGATGCTATAGATAGAACGATGGTCAGATAATTATTGATTGACTGAGGCATTATAAGGATGCCTCAAAAACAAACAGGAAGCCGTGGTGAGGCTTTTTGTGACGCAATTTCAAGTGATCATATATGGTAACTTACCCGTGAAAGGGTTAAATAGACTTGAACCATTTTATAGAGTATAAACCAATCTGAACCAAAACTTTATAGCAATATTAAAATAATTCTGTACCTATATTTGAAAGCCTACATTATTAATATATTTTGGAAAATTTTTTTTATCACTTCACTCACAATTCTTTATCTAGCTCACCTGCTGACTGCTGTTGATAATTAAATTTATGAAGTGCATCCAAGTATTAAAGAATGTACCATCAATGTCATTTGAGTTACCTCTTAACTTACTCGAGTGGTTGTTCTATAATAGAACCTAAATATTGCTAGCAAAATCTAAAAATAAAAGTAGTCTGCAGACATTTGCACTGCTTTGAAATATGTGTAGTCCACTGGCACTCAAATTAATGTGTATCTGGAAAATAAATATCTTATTGATGAAATATTAATGGGTTATCAATCATCAAGAAATAATTACTTGAGCCAACAATGCAATTGTGTAAAACCAAGTTACCTCTTAACTTGATCAATAAATGATCAGCAAACACTGGATACATGCATAAGGTTTTGAGGCTTTTTTTTCCTGCATGGAATTTGTGCAAGATTACATTCATGCATCTGGTATATACTCAAATGGGTATGGTATTCGAATGTGCATGAACACATCCATTGGTCTATCTATTGCACTCAAGCTTCCAAGTATGTATATAACTCTCATACAATATTGTATTCTGTCTACATTACTTCACTCCCATTGCTTCAGTTTCTTCACCATAGGTTACTTTCTATCCTGATGGTAACCCACAAAGTAGAAGCAATTAATAATGTCGTCAAATGATAAAAATGTGAGATGAAAAGGTATTTGAGTTTTTTACTTAATAGAAAAGTGGTTTGCAAGGACCCCTAGATAAAAATTTTTACTTCCTGGCAATGCAAATGCAATAGAAATCCACTCAACAATATGTACTCACTACCAATTAACCCTCATAATAATTGACAGTAGAATTTCCTTTTGTCTTTTCATGCGTTTCAAATTTTTCTTCAAGATATTGAAGATGGAATTAATTATTTTTATTACTAGGTTTGATTATGACTATCGGGTGATTATTGTTATGAAATTTTTATTGTTTCAGAAAGGAATAAATAATATCTTGCTTTAGTTAAAATGAGTGATACACATAATGAAGATGTCCAAAAGTTGCTGGATGTCATATGTGCACAACAGAAATTATTGCGTGACCGAGGTCTCGTGCAGGTCAAGTCTGCTCTTCCTACTCTCTCACCCACAGCACAAGGAACCTTGATCACCTGCTTGCTGGATATAATTGAAAATAATGAGAGGTAGGCAATGAGAAGTATTTTTTATTGGAGTTAAATCAATATATTTGTTTTCTTACATTTGCATTGAGAAAAATTATTTGCAATGTATAAGTTACCATGCAAATTTTACATTGAATTTGTTGGTTCTGAAAGTGAGATTCTACAGTTTGATTAAAAAAATTTTTTTGTGATGTACCACTGAAAAATTCTTCATGCTATTCAAGTTTGAAATTATATATTATGTGTTAATACTTGTATTAATCTGTGTCTAAATATGCACCAATGATGTTGTTTGGTTCCAGTCCATGGGAAAGTAAACATGGTTCTCTGGAGACTCTGCAGATGATGGTGAGTGCAAGCCCCAGTCTATGCAGCAAAAGTGAACTAGAGAACAACTGGCAGAGGATGAGGAGCCAAGCACAGAATTTGCTTGTTGATCCTGAGGCCCGTGTGAGGCTTTCTGCTGGTGAGCTTCATGACCATTAATTATTACAGTTTGGTGTCATGAGTTTAATTCTTGAAATTTTTTGTTTATTTACATGTAGAGCAATGTTAATATTGGAAATCAGTGTATAATTCAAAATATAAGTTACCATTCCAATAACTAAAGCTTAATTATGAATTTAATTAACAAAATATTATAATATTCTTCTGTTTCAAAAGCTTGAGTCATAATTATTTAATATGGCCAAAAATCATTATTGCACAATATGACCTTTCAAACAAGCCTCCTTCCATTCAGGATGTCTTCTTGGAGCCATGTGCTCCCAGGATATGGGGGAGACGTTTGTTCTAAGCAGATCCATGGTAATGGATTTGGTCCGTAATAACCTGGAACGTCAGTTATTGGAGTCGGATGAGCCATTGGAAGGAGGGCATGATGCTGGAGCTGGAGTGACTTTGGAGCAGCTCAAGCATAAGCTTGTCAATGCAGCTGCTCGAGAACGGGTCAGTTATAGAACATAATTCTTTAATGGTATCTGAATGGAAAGAATGCTTGAATGCCGAGAGAATTATGATTGAAAATTATCATAAAAAATGCATCCTTCCGAATTAGACAAAAAGATTCCTATTGAGCAAATAGATACATGTATACATATTACTTGACTTCTTCATTTTCTGGATGCAGAGAGGATCTGCTCTGAATATAAGTTTATTATATATTACTCTAATTTCAAATTCATTAAAAGTTTTAGTGTTGTTAAGAAATCACAGATATTAAATTCATTCAATAATTATATCTTGCAAACTAATATTTACTGCATGATCATTGTAAGACATTGTGAAGTAGGTATGTATATATTACCATGGTTAGTTCAGTATTAAAGTAGTTAACAAATTCACAGGACATGTGTTTGACAGATCTGAAGCTTTCTTTAATTTAAATTTATAAGATCTTTAACCTTGTTAAAAAAATCAAAACCAGCAAGTCTCAATAAGATAGTTATTTATTCCATCTGATAGTTATTTATTCCAAAAATCAGTGAGTATGATGACAAGGAACTTATTTGTTCCAGCGCATGAGCAACAGCAGCGACGCAAAGCAGATATTCCATGACACTGCAGGCTGGCGCAACCTCGAGTCCAGCCTCAATGCTCTCCAGCAAATGATTGAGGTAATATTTACACTATTATTTAGTATAGGATTTTTGAAGGCTAAAATATTTTAATTTTTTCTAATGATTGTCACTTATCTGTGCCAATTCACATGTCAGATTGTCTGAATTTATATGTACGTTTATTCACAATATGTACGGTATTTCACACACTTGAATTAAAATGAAGCTATGATTAGATTTTTTTCATACTGCACTTCAATGATTTGTATTATTTATAGTTGCTATCATTAAAAACACTGACAATCCTCAATTGCACAGTTTTTGTGTTCTGTCATATTATTGAAATACACGTTTGCAGCATTTCCATTATTGTGAAAGAATGGGATGTTAGGAAGATTTGCGCTACAAACAAAGTTTAAAAAAAAATTGCTATTTGTTCTTAAATTTGGCTGCTACTTGCAGGGAAGTGGTTCCCATTTTGCTAGAATGTGCGACGAGGAGCTTGTTATGCTCATACTTTCCACGCTACAGCACCCCAATAGGTTCGTCCGGGAGACGGGCTTTGGTGTGTGTGCTGCACTCGTTTCCTGTAACTTTGAAGGTTAGACCTCACTTATAATGTTGGCTTTACTTTTATATTAGCTTCCAATATGCTCGTCATACTTCGATATTAATTACTGGTACTATAATTTATACCTCAACCAAAACGTTGGCCGAATTAATACATTTGTTTTCAAAATGCTTGTTAAACTGTAATATTAATTAATGGTTCAATAATTTTTGCGGCCTAACTTGTGAAAAATTTATTTCATGCCTTGAAATATTTTCTGATTTCTCCAGATTGTTTTACCTTATATTGATTTTTATTGCCTTGTTTAACAAGTTATTATACCTTTGTATTACGACATGTTAGGTAATTTAACATGATGTGACCGTAGATACGCTGCTTTCATTCAACTTCAGCATGCAACAGTGTCATTATTTATTTTGTTGCAGAGGAGTTTTCGGACTCAGTGCTGAGCTGCCACGGCAGCGTCTTGGTGCAGCACCTTGCACTTGGTCTTGCTGATAACTGGAGTCAGGTGATTATTGAATTTGTCTGAATTTGTCATCGTTTTCTTTTCTACACTTTCCACCCAACGTGGTGGAAAATATACTCGTTGTATATTTTCATAAACGTAATCCAAAACGTAATGATCATCACGTTTCTTGATTATCCAAAATGCAATATTTTGAAATGAAATATAGCTTCCATGGAGAGATATTATATATTATAAAATACTATATATTTGATATTATGTATTATATATTTGCAGAATACATATCAAAAAGATTATAACTTTTGTAACTCTTGGCACAATGTGAATAAGTAATGGTAATAAGTTCTATTTTGTTTGTGATTTCTGAGTAAATTTTTTATTCCATTGAATTCTTAACAGAAATTACAAAATTGTGAGCATGTTTCTGGTCTTCAGGTTATTTGTAAAAAAAATTGCTTCCCAGTTTCGTTCAGATCATTCAGTTTTTGACTGTCCATTTCATGTTTTTGAGGATGTAGGTCTTAACTATTTGAACTCGTGTTTGATGAACTTATTCGCATTGAACCCTATTCATTTCATATTATTCATGATAAGTTCATGATAATTTTGTTGAGATTAGACATCTGATAATTATGGTGTGCAAGTGGTTCACTGCCACAAACATCTTCATGTTAACCCGTGAACAGGTGAGGCTCGCTGCCAGCATCGCCAGCCGCAAGTTCCTGACCAATTTGTCTGCCTCGTCTCGACATTCTGCGTACCCCGCATTGCTGCCTAGAATTTGCCTCAATAGGTAACTCCTTTCTGTGTTTTTTTTTTACGCTGCGTATAATGTATTAAAAAAGTTATGATCCTTTTCTCGTTCATTTCTATTAACTATGCATTATGTAGAGAGAAGAGTTATGAAATGGAGGTTAAATTCTGATTGAAGAAATAATTCCTATTATTTATTATTTTTATGTTATTGCTTTTACTCTAATTTTACCAATCATTTCACAAAATTAAGTATGGGAATTTTGTCACAATGGATGTTTTGTTCGATCCTAGTGTCTGTGAATATCCAGAAGCAGTTAATGAAAAATCTGTTGTTATACATTTAATAATGAACTTACTTTCAGAACTAATTAATGTACCTAATTATATATTTTCATCTCAAGGATGCTTCTTTTTCAGAACGATTTTCTAGCATGAACGCAGTAAATAATTCCATCAATGGCAATAATGATAATAGTGTATGAAGTTTTGTAGTATTTGATATATAATTAATAATCATTAATTTATGTACACCTTAGGTACTACGTAGCGGAGGGAGTGCGTTTGTACTCTCAGGAGACGTGGCGTCAGGTGACCGGGACGGAGGGCAAGGCTTTGGTGCTGCAGTACATGGAGCATGTGGTGAGTGATGAGTAACGTGAGTAACTCTCTTTCATGAGTATTTTACAGGAAATATCCCCACCAAAGACGTTAAATTTTTGTCTCAAGGCCTCTACCTGTCAAAACATCATTCAAAACTTTTATTGAATTATGAGACGAGCCCTGTAATTTGTAATTGAGATAAAACTATTTTATTGATACATCAATTGGTTTGTAAAATTGTAATACGTCTCTGTTGAATTTCTACTTTCCTATGATTGGTCTGTAAATGTCTCTTGAATAAAATAATTCTCAGACGCTGTTCACGAGATGATAATTAAAAAGTTTGTTCCAACATTATTTTCATTTTAAATACAAATTTATTTCTAAATCTCTTCTATTGCTCATGTATGTGAGTGCATTATTGCCGGAAAAATGTATATTTCTTCTATTTTACAACACTTCTCTTTAACTTCACTTCTTGTCTGTCTGTCTGTCTGTCTGTCTGCTACAAATCTTGTAATCGAAATTTAATACACTTCTACTTATCCTATCGACCTGAAATTTTGCACACTTGTGTAAAGTTGGAGAGTGCAGAGCTTCCCTGAGGAGGCCAGCTTCACCATGCCTCAGCTGTACCCGCTCTTCTTTGATAACTTGCAGGTCAGTTGCTTCTTGCCTCGAATCTCGTCAATAATAACTTGAAGGGCAGGTTATCTCTCAAATCTTAACATTAGGTAATAACTTGCAGAGCAGGGTAATTCTCAAATCTTCTAATTAATACGAGACTTGCAGGCCAGGTTAACTCTCAAATCTTCTAATTAATTCGAGACTTGCGGGGCAGGTTAACTCTCAAATCTTATCATTAATAACTTGCAGGGCAGGTTAACTCTCAAATTTTATCATTAATAACTTGCAGGGCAGGTTAACTCTCAAATCTTCTAATTAATAACTTGCAGGGCAGGTTAACTCTCAAATCTTATGATTAATAACTTGCAGGGCTGGTTAACTCTCAAATCTTATCATTAATAACTTTCAGGGCAGGTTAACTCTCAAATCTTATCATTAATAACTTAGCATGTGTCAGGGCGCGGCCGTGGCGCTAGGTCAATTCGTGTAGACGTATTATTAAATATAATATTTAATATTTTGATAGTATGATATTATTTTATTACTATGATATTCAACATTATATTATTTATTTGGCAGGACAGCATACCGAGCGTGCGTCAGGGCGATGTCTTGGCGCTAGGTCAATTGGTGTAGACGAGCTATTATATATAATATTTATTTCATTGATGCTGTGATATCATTTATTATTATAATATGTAATATAATATTATTTAAATGGCAGGACAGTATACCAAGCGTGCGTCAGGGCGCGGCCGTGGCACTAGGGCACGTGGTGCAGGCGTACGCTGGGGACGCTCTGGCCAAGGTTGTGCCGCTCCTGAAGGAGAGGCTGCAAGGCGAGTGCCTGCTACTGGTCTTGTAATTATATACATTTAATTAGTATTATTTAATTGCATTTTCATTTAAAACGAATGGCAAACGATTTCGGAACTTCCAATAAGGCGAGCAATCAATATACATACAGAGTATTTAATCACGATTGCATTTAAAATTGATAACAAACGATTTTGGAACTTCCAAGAAGGCGAGTCTGGTGTCGTGAGTGATGCTCCTGATTCAGTAAGTATGAAGTATTTAATCATGATTAAATTAAAATTGGATGGCAAGTTATTAGAGAAGTCGCAATCAAGATATTACATTAAAAGTACACTCATTTCATATCAACGGATAATTATATGTTGCTTTTTGAGTTGAAATTTGAGGTGACACTGCTACATTGCTCCCTCGAATATTAGGAAGGGTTTCATTGCAATGTTTGCTACATGTTTAACATGTGTTTCACAGATGTGTAACTTTATTTACCTGATGTGTAACTTATGTTTGTCAAATGTGTAACTTATGTTTGTTTGTATGGTGCAGGTGTAGTCAATCAGAGCAGCGAGACGGAGCGGTACGGTGACTTGCAGTCCGGACCTGCAACCTACGGCGTCGTCAAGCAGAGACGCGACAACGACATCAGCCTGCACGAGGACAAGCAGGTCAGCAGGTTCAACCTGTAAATTATCAAGACACTCAGGTTCGCAGGTCCACACTTACACAGCAAATTTACTCTTGTGAGTGTGACTCGCTCATGCTATGAATCACTTTCTATAACATCTATCAAACGTTGTCCACTTCAGAGCAGTAATAGTAGGTAACGGAAAACCAATTTTATCACGATTGCATTTAAAATTAATGACAAATGATTTCCGAACTTTCTAATAAGGCTAGTCTGGTGTTATGGGTGATGCTCCTGATTCAGTAATTATGAAGTATTCAATCACGATTACATTAAAATTGGATGGCAAGTTATTTAAGAAGTCCCAATCAAGAGGTTATTACATTAAAAGTAAACTCGTTTCATATGAACGGGATAATTGTATGTTGCTTTTTGAGTTGAAATTCGAGTTGACACTGCTACATTGCTTCCTCGAATATTAGGAAGGGTTACATTCCATTGTTTGCTGCATGTTTAACTTGTGTTTGCCAGATGTGTAACTTTTGTTTGCCAGATGTGTAACTTTTGTTTGCCAGATGTGTAACTTGTGTTTGCCAGATGTGTAACTTTTGTTTGCCAGATGTGTAACTTTTGTTTGCCAGATGTGTAACTTGTGTTTGCCAGATGTGTAACTTATGTTTGCCACTTGTGTAACTTATGTTACCAGATGTGTAACTTATGTTACCAGATGTGTAACTTATGTTTATTTGTACGGTGCAGGTGTAGTTAATCAGAGCAGCGAGACGGAGCTGTACGGTGACCTGCAGTCCGGACCTGCAACTTACGGCGTCGTCAAGCAGAGACGCGACAACGACATCAGCCTGCATGAGGACAAGCAGGTCAGCAGGTTAAACCTGTAAATAATTAAGACACTCAGGTTCGATTTTCCAACCTGGAAATTATCAAGAAACTCAGGTTCACTGGTCCAACCTGTAAATTATCAATACACTCAGGTTCGCAGGTCCACACCTACATGGGAAATTCACTCGTGTGAGTGTGACTCGCTCATGCTATGAATTAATTTCTATAACATCCATCAAACGTTATCCACTTCAGAGTAGTAATGGGTAATGGAAAACCAGCAACAAAAATTGTTACTCAGAAATTTCTGTGTTTACAATTCGTTTTTTGTAAGCTACTACCTCATCATATACGGGAGACCAATATTATGCATTATTAGTCCATTATCATTATGCTCTTGGCATACAGTTCCAGGTAATTGATAATTTAAGTTATATGAAGGAATAGACGCGACATATGAGAGATACTACTGCGCTTTTTGATGCTTTACATTTAATTATTTTGAGTGTTGAAAATTATTATGAAGGTTTGTGATACCTAAGTCGAGCTATTTTAGTGAGCGAGTGAGACCAATATTGACGCATAAACTATTCTTGCTGCTCATTTTATTCACACTGGAAAGATATTGGTTAGTTTTTTTTTGTAAACTGTCTAGCGGTGATGACAAATCTACTCATCCAATATCCTTGTAATGACGCTTCTAAGGGTATTTGTATCTACATTATTACGGCAGTGTTCTTGCAATGGAAGTTGACATTACCTGAACCAGGCCATTGGCGCCGTTTAATTTAATCAGTTTCAAATTTGTCGACTCTTTAAATTTTTTCTTTGTATTTTCATCATTATATTATTGTTCTTGCTTTGAAAGTGTGCTCTAACTAACCTAGGCCACTGATGCCGTTTAATTTAATCAGTTTCAAATTTGTCAAAATTCTCTTCAATTTTTTTTCATCATTATATTATTGTTCTTGCTTTGAAAGTGTGCTCTAACTAACCTTAGTCACCTAACCTTGGTCAATTTTAGTTTCAAAGTTAGAAATCTGTCAAGTTATTAATATAACTTAACGTTATTACTATAACTTAACGTTATTACTATAACTTAACGTTGTTACTATAACTTAACGTTATTAATAATTAATATAACCTAATAATTTAACCTTATCTGTTAAGTTATTAATCTCTGAAAATTTTCAACATTTCCCCCGCTAGATGTACTCGTGCGGGTCGCTGGCCCCCAAGATGGGCCGCGGGGGCGGGTGCTCCGACTGCAGGTTCCGCCGCCCCCCGCAGCCCTGGGAGGCTGCTGATGGAGCTGTGTGGCTCCTGGGGGAGCTGGCCATCGTAGGCGGCCATCAGGGGCACGTGTCTGTCATTGGTGGGTGAACTGACCATCGTAGGTGGCCATCAGGAGCACGTGTCTGTCATTGGTGGGTGAACTGACCATCGTAGGTGGCCATCAGGGGCACGTGTCTGTCATTGGTGGGTGAACTGACCATCGTAGGTGGCCATTAGGGGCACGTGTCTGTCATTAATCGGTTCTGGGTGTAACTAGGACAATTTTTTCATGAAAATTCTCTTAGGAGTGAAATAAACTTTGATAAATTTATTTCCTTAAAGTTTAAAAGAGTTTATATTTTTATGTCAGTTTTTCCTTATGTGTGAAATATACTTGTGTAAAATCCAACTTCAAGGTTTAAAATAATTCAAATTTTTTTATGCTCATAGGTAGTCAAGTTTTTTTTGCTGCATGAAGTGACGCAAATTAGTCGTTTGAAAATACAGATAGAAGTCCCAACAAAAATAATATGCCTGTGGCGATCGATGCTTTGTGAATACTAAATAATTCAGGTGATAATTGTTGGAAAATCACGATTATTTTCAGAGTTTTTACCATTTTTCTTGAAAGCCTCCAATATTCCCAGACTTGCTGCCTGTGTTATCGGAAAGCTGCCGGGCGAGGCACTACACGCAGCACGTGGCGCTCCTAGAGACGCTCTGCAAGAACTTGCCTCGCATTTGTAAAGGCATTGGCAAGAAAAGCTTCAAGCCTCACCTCCATCTCTTCATCGACCACATGTTCTATGCACTGGTGTGAACTAAATTCGGTTTAAACTACATGACTAATGTTTTACTGCAATTTAATATCCTTTGTATGAATTAATCCAGTGTAGAATTACACAGTCAACATTGTGTATAATATGTCTGTGTAATAATGTTCATTGTATGCACAGGAGTGTGAGAACAGCCTGACCAGCTCAGCCGCCAGTCAGTGCCTCACGTCGCTGTCCACTGACATCGGTCCGAGCATCTTCAGGGCCCGTATTGAAGAATACAACCCCAGGTACTATTCCTTGCCTGAGCAAGGAAATAGAGGTAACAAGAGTACACCCTAATCCTTTATTGAGGAGTGTAACTCTTTTCAGGGCAGTGTAACTCTTTCTACGAAGCAGTGTAACTCTCTACAGAGCAGTGTAACTGTCTTTAGAGAACAGTAAAACTCTCTCGACAGAGCAGTTTAGCTCTCTTTAGAGAGCTGTGTAACTTTCTCTACAGAGCAGTTTAAGTCTCTTTAGAGAGCAGTGTAACTCTCTTTAGAGAGCAGTTTAACTCTATACGTGTAACTTTCTTTACAGAATAGTACAACCCTGTTTACGGAAAATAGCAACCGTCTGGATGGAAGAGAGTAACTCTTTAAAGAGGAATGGCGCTACCTAGTGATAGTAGAGTATGTCAGCCACTCAATGCATTGACAAAGCTAAATTGAAGTTAGATTAACTGAGTTATCTTTTTCGCAGCTACTTGCGAGCTCTGGACGCCAACAACTACAGCTCCCCTTTGTGAGCTGCAGAGTAGAGAACCGTCGCTGCTTCCTGCTCGTCGATCACACGCATTTCTGCTCACTCTACACGACTGTTTACTACTCATCTGGGGCGGTACTTTCATAACAAGTTTAGAGCGCGTAAGTTTATCGGTCAATCACTGACGGCCTTTCAAGCAAAAGGCACCAATCACTTAGCGTACTTTAGCAAGTTTTTGAAAATACAGCCCCTCATCTTTTGCATCGATCCTATTTTTTAGAAAATTCTTTTGTCATTCTACGAAATTTCTGAACTCTCGATTTAATCTTAATGTTAATTAAAAAATATCTCTACCCGTGCTTTTGCTATGAATTATACAGCAAGTAATTCAGCTCAAGTGAGAGCAAATTGTCTGTTTTGGAACTTGTTTCGTTCTTCAAACTTTTGTATTCCTTTATCAATATTATTTGTAATTTTTCTTTTCCCAATATCCCTAAAGAAGTTTTAAAGTACATCAAATCGACTTCGTGTGGTTCCTAAAACTAGGCATTATACCGTTTCCTATTATCATAATAATTTCGAAAGCTTTCGAGTTGAGTTAATTAGCCCTCTGTTAGATACATTCTTCAGCAGGTGTTTATTGTGCCAACCATACAAAAAGTAAGAATGTAGGCGTACAGAGTAGCAGAAATGGCATTATCTTATTATGTTTACACATTCACGCTTCAATGTTGTGTATAACTTTATATATCGCCTCGTCGTGCGATTCTATTTGTCTTAAACTTAGATCGTCTTATGTCTCACTTATTGTTAAATAATTCTTTTGACTTATTGGGCCGTGAATGATGATCGTGATATTATTGGACTACATTGTCTATAATTTTTTTCATTAGTTGTAATGTTTTCTGAGCATTTGATATGATTTATTCTTAGCACGCCTAACTAGTGTTAACGATCAATAATACGTCGTGGTCATGCTGTCGTTCACTCAGGTTATGTTGCATACTTAGTTGTGTTTACTATGTCCTCTATATATTACTAATACTTAGGCGTCACTTACATTTAAGTCTTGCTTCAGCGTTTATTAGAATTTAATTATCTAGCCCTGCTAGTTTCAATTAGGATGTAGGGATGACTTTCTCATGACGGTAAATCTGAATTTTAATACCGTTGCATGGTAGCTGGCGTGATGATCAGCTTATTGTGCCGTGATGTGAAATTGATGAATTTGCCACCAGCTCCCTCAGAGATATTAGCCTTCTAGAACTGTTAAGCCCATGGAGAAATATTTTAATTTTTAACTGGGATACTGATCTATTGATTTATAAAAAAACTTCTATTTATGTCAACTAGAGCGAAATAAAACCGATAATGGGAAATTTCTTGCACGCGACTAAATGCAACTTGAAATATAATGCCGCTACCGATCTAATTTGAAGAAGAAAGCGACTCCTATTGTTGGGACCTGACAGGCTTTGTGTAACTTCGGCATCCACATGCCTATTGTCTGCTCCTTGGAACCTGATTTGTTCATCACTGCATCCGTCTCTTGGAATTTTTTTATTCTAATTTTTATTTCATTTTATTTTTTCCAGGATAAATTTTTTTTTACTTTATAAGGATAATTTCGTAAATTTATTTGCTTTAAGTGCATCACGTCAGTTGAGCTTTACCGCTGTGGAAGAAGCTTTAATATATCGTGTAGTATACGCGTTTACGGTTGAAGTTTGCATTACCATTCATATTTCAAATCTATAGTTGAGCACTCGAAGGTCCCATGTATGTTTACTTTTTTAAGATTTATATGTTTCCTTCTTTGATAAAATCGCTTTGATGAAACTCGGCGACTGCATCAGTCCGTATTTGTTCTCTAGTATCAAGCGTTTTTACAAATCTATGCACCGTTTCTAGTTTTTTTACTGGAATATTATTTACATGAAGTATCTGATGAATTAGATTTTGTTTACATTTAGTGTTTGTTTTTATACTAGAATATATCCAGATTGTCATTGCAGAAAAGGTAGATAATCATTACTCATTTCAGCACCTTTATTTACATCGGACCCATTATTTTACATGTAATAGTGCAGCTGCTTGCTAATTACGTTGTCATCTTTATTGAGGTTTCGAGCGTAGCCAATCTTCAGTAACTTGTGCTGTGGTTTTAACTAGGATAATTTCTTCTTAACATTTATTCTCCGTTTACCTAGCGAATATTGAACTTTCGTTTGCAATATAGAAAAGGGCATTACCTCTTGGCAGTCTGTCAGAATTGGTAGTCAATTAAGGAATAACCTGTGCAGTATGAGCCGTGTTCTTCTATTAGAAATTTACGGCGTTTAAATTGTCAGTCATAGCCTAGATAGCGACTTGTGTCGAAAAAAAATTCTAAGTAGCGAGTCGGCCGTCCATTTACTGGTTTTCGGTTCAAGTCCCACTTATCTAGAAGTCCAGTGTCAACTTGCTTCATACTGATTCGATTATTTGTTGCTTTCTCGAGTTGCTATTTTCTCTCTATAATTTTTTCTTCATCTTGATGGAGGTCAAAGCAGTTTCATGCGTAGTATATACGTACGTGTTATACTTCACAGTTTGCAGGTTCTTGAATGAGCTGAAACAACTGAAATCCCAAAAAATATTATTTATATTAAAAAAAATATTTTCCCAAAAATTTAATTTAGGTGAAATTCACGTCATTGAATTCTGACGGTAAGTGAACGCAGAAAGCAGCCAGAGTAATTTGTAAGGCGAGTCGATTGTGAAAGTTTGTATAGGGAAAATGGGACAGAATTATAGTAATGTATTGTCGAGTTATTAATCAACGTGTTTGGCTAATAATCCTCAATATTTTAAAAGCGCATTGATTACTTACACATCACACTCGGGTAGCCACTACTCACCCTGTATGCAACTTAAATAATTCTGCGACTCTTGACCCGATTTTGGATTTCTGAAAACGGCCATTGCATGCGCAGCGACCAAATACTTAAGCCTTTTATTCCGAGTGTTAGCTTGCTAATTATTACGATGTTATCAACTACCTACCATTTTTTGTATTCATTCTCCGTTTGTAACAGAGTAACTTCTGAAAAGTGGCTTCTACGGTAAGAATTAATGCTTTCGTTTAACAACTGAATGTATATAAAAAAGAATGAGTTCTCGATGTTTGAAGATTCTTAATTTGTAGGAGATATTGTAACATTTCGCGCATAGGATGAATGAAACAACTTTCAATAGATTATAAAAACGATAAGCCTTGCGTATAATTTCTTCAACCAAGAAATCCATTACCTTGACGACTATTAAAATCTGGAAAATATTCCTCCAACTCCTGAAAGGAAAACTGATGAAGTTATAAGAAAATGACGTCTAGCGTTAATTCAATTTGTGTTAACAGAGAGCACGCCACAAATGTTTACTTGGCCGACATTTTTGCACTCTATTCAGACATTCGAAAGTTTCTCGATTGGTTGTCACAGTTTCAAGCTCAAGCTCTATAATCAACAAGTCATTTCCTAGTTGCTTCTTTCTTCAGTTTAGTGAAAGAAAATAATTAAAAGTAGAGCTTGAGAAGGAAAGCTCGTTTGCCGTATTATTTTATCTTCTGAATGCCGAGTAAACCCTAAAAATTTTATCTAAAAATGAAAAGTAAACCCTATCGCTGGTACGGCGGCCTTCCTAATGCTGCATCAATAAATCATTTAAAAAATGAGTTCAAGTACCGAGATTTTTGCAAGACGAAGCTTTCGGCAAGATGAAAGTCACCCGTCACTCGGGTGATAGTGCTGCTTTCTCGTCAAGTGTTGAAACATTGGTTTAACTATCTAATGATTGTATGAATATCATTAACACAATGGTCTTATTCCCACCATTCACACAACATTCACAGTGCATAGCCAAAATGTCACAAACTTCCTTGCTACCTTAATAGCACATTCGCTGGCACTCGCTAAGAGATTGCGTTAACATCGAGACAATTCAACAAATTCGCTTGATCTTTAGACCGACATATATTGAGGTCTCTTTGTTGGGGCTTAGATTTTGTCTCCAGTAATTATGGCCAAGAGTCGACCATAATATCAGCGTCAATATTTCCTAAAACATTTTGCACAAATAAAACTATGTACGTAAATTCCACCAAAAAGTATTTTATTTCCTGTGTGACTTCTGAAACTTTGTGCAAGACATGAGAAGCGTTTACAATTTTCTAATTTACACTTTGCGATAGCTTCACAATCTCATGAAAATGCTATTATATCAATCAGCAGTACAGCTCTAGAAATACGCTTCATTTGTTGGTGACGTAAAAGTTGACTTAATTTAATACCAGGCTAAAACCTCATCTCTGAAACATCAAGGCTAATAATTGTACCCAATAAAAATATGGAACACGAAGAGAAAATGGTCAAACTTCTGAATTCTGGTTTGTTGAGGGAAAATATGACAAATATTAATGATTCTTATTGGTCAAAATATCATTGTTGTTCGAGAGGCCAATTGGGAAATAGGCCGCGCCGACTTATGTTTGAGGAGATGCAAAACTGCGAATTGCAAAACTACATCGCAAAAATTCGGTTAAGCCGGAGCTATGCGAAAAATTGCATAACAAAGCTCCAAAAGAGCGTTAATAAATCTGCTATAATATATTTTTCAGCGGCATAAAAAACGGACGCACGAGGATATTTCAATTATTATACAAGAAAGAGGTAGAAGGAGCTATCTAGTAACAGCATAGGATGGCAGCACGGGATGGAAATGCAAAAAAGGGAAGCGCATTCAAGACGAGTTCTTTGCTGAAAGCTTCCTAATATTTCTTGGTCATATCAAGCGTAACAAGTGGAAAAAATTAATCGAGTTCTGAGAAATGATCTTGCAGTCTTTCGGGGCAATACAGCATTGAGCAGACAAAAACTTCCTTTAGCAACAGACCAACCAAAGACATAACATATGCAAAACTCCAAAAGACGTAACATTTGTCTACATAAGAACATATAATGCTAATGTGAATTTGTTTTTGAAAATACAAATATATGGACCATGAAGACTTGACAAGAAAATGCAAGGCCTCCTCGGACTAAACACGTACATCGTACGTTGATAGCAACACTAAGATTTTATTAACTGGCTACACACGGTCTGCGAGTAACCTTATACGATCAATACGACATGACAAGTCAATGAAGACGTGGCAAGCAGGGACGGAAGCGAGTTCAACCTTCAACTGCCCACCTCACATACGTTCAGACTCACTTTTTTGACTCATTAAAAGCCCAAATTCATTGACTCATTGTAATCCTATAACATTGACTCATTGTAGTCCTATTACATTGACTCATTTTAATCCTCATTTCATGGACTCGTTGTAACCTTCATTTCATGGACTAATTGTAATCAATTAGTTAAAGATTACTAATTGTAATCTTTTTCTCATAGACTCACAGTAATCCTTATTTCATGAACTTATTGGAATCCTCATTTGCATAGACTCACTGTAATCCTCATTTCATGAACTTATTGTAGTTCTCTCTTCATTGTATGACAGTTGGGCAGTGAATGGCCAACCAAACAGCAGCGAGTAGTTAGTCGCAGCACTGAATTCACACCAGAAGAAGAAGCGAGTTTGTCTTAGAAATTAAACAATCTTCAATCGTAACTACTCAACTAAATGACCATGAAAATAGCTTAAATTTAAAGCGAATTCAGGAAATGTCAGAGTATATGCAATAACAAAAATTTCCATATGTTAAACTTTTTAGAATCATAATAATTTGTGTTGTTCCGGCAACAGTTTTTCTTGTCTTACTCCAACATTCGACTAGCGATTATGGATATAGTCTGGATATTTTTCACATAAAATTTAGATAAATTATGAAAAACGACACCATATTGAAAAATTAATAACGTAAATGAAACACATATATACAAACAATTGTTCCAATAATTTTGAAATCTCGAACTGTTAAGCTCGATGTTTTACGGATATTGGAACCAAGATTTGTGCGTTACATGATAAGCCTGTGCTTCTTCAACATTAATCAACATATAAGATAATCACTACAATAAACACTTAATTAAACCTCTCTGCGATAATATATTATAATCAAGAAAAGTATTGGCCCGCAATATGTAACTAACAACAGTTGATAGAATATACACAATTGTAGATATTAACTGATAACATTGGTTCGCTAGCGAAGCAAGCAATGCAAGAACTAATATAAAAACTATTCGAATAAATCATCGGAAATCATTCAAATTATTAAATTGAATTATGGCAATCACTCAAATTTATAATTTGAATGATTGTTTCGCAGTTTAAAATTTTTAATTAATCATTTACCGCCAGTCAAATTTATTATTTGCATTTCAGCCATGCTATAATTATTAAAAATTTATTAACTAAATTCTTAACGTTTCCTGAATTTTAAAACAAACTTTATATAGAATATATTTTTGGCAACTGCTGGACATCGGCTTGCCTTTTTTCAAGGTTAAAAGTTTTAAAAGATCTACTAACGAATAATTTAAAATACTATAGTCTCGAATGAAATATTAACAACCTTTTCTCTGGATATTAAACATCACAATGTTGAAGTTCGTTAATCTAATTAAGGATGACACTTAATTATCATAGATCTTTTTAAGCAGCCTCTACATCAATTAAATTCGACGTTTGCTGCAGTCTAAAACCTGCTCATCTATACGCGGTAATCACGTCTTCTAGAACTTTTTCCAAGCAATTCTCATACGCCAACGACACAGAACCATTCAAGTTCCTAAACCAAGTAGATATAATACGCAACAACAGACAACTTTATAGAATTTTTCACCTTAGAAATATCAATGCCAAACGCTATTCGTGAATAAACGCATTCTTCTCTGTACAAAAGCTTTCAACGATTATATTCAACTCTCTGTTTAGACTCTTTTATTGCTGTTAAAACTCCATAAAACAAGAAGTAACTTATAATCATAAATTTTACACGCCAGTTTCACAAGCCTTGGAATAAATTCCTTTGAAAATCACGAGAAAAATGTCGACCATAGAAAAATGTCAGCTGCTAAAGTTGATAGTTTGTAGCTAGGTTAAGCAACCGCTTCGAAATTTTTGGGACGAATTTTTGGAGCAATTTTCTTGGATAATCTTCATAGCACATTTTCCACTCATAATTTTTTCAAATCCAAACCGATTTTGACCAAATTTAAAATTTAGATATTTATTCACAATACACTCCTGCGCAAGTCTTGATTTTTTTTTGTTAAACAAAAGCGGACAAAAAATTTCTGACAACGCTCGCATTGTCATATTGTGACAAAAAATTTTATTTTTACTTTGGTCAAAATTGGTTTTGATTTTTTTTTTGACAAAGTTACGTGTGGAAAAAAGACTACGGAATTTTTCCAAAAAATTATCTTTAAAAATGCGTTCCAAAAGTGGTTAAACATACTTTAGCTCATTCCATAAATGGGACTATATCTTCGAGCAAGAAAATTAAAGGCAGATGTCGTAAGCAAGAAAATTAAGCCCAAGACAGAAGTCGTAAAAGTGCACGCTGAAGTGACCAATGCAAGAATTACATACAAGGTTTTGCGAAGAGTGTACAAGCTTCCAAAGTACAAATTAAGGGCGAAAGTGCCCTATCGCTTTACAACAACATCATGTTTGAATATTATTTACATTTACATAGCAATTTACAGCTCTTTGACTTGAATGTAAGACGTAGAGAATTATCATGATTGAATTATAGTGCATATGCAAGTCAGAATTACTCCAGAAAAACAGGGAATTACCATACATATATCCTAGAAATCGATTAACAATAGGTTGCAACTTTAGTCTTCTGCCAATTAGCACGGCGCAATTGTTACGAGGAAACGTGGCTTTTGTCATTCATATGTCTAACAACGAACAAACAAAAATAATTCCATAATTTTTAATTCAATCTTACGAATTAACGAATAACTAATATTTGCATTTTATATCCAGTAAACGTAGGCTAAAGTTAAATCCTAATGAAACCAAGTTATCATTCAATCAACATCATAAGCGCTCTGGGAATCTCTACTCACATGAGAAACTACGGCTAAAAGTCGTCAAAAGGAAAATTCTTGGATTGACTTCTTTGTTCTGAAAGAAAAAAATTAAAATTCCCCCCCTCTCGTGAAAATCGCTTACTAGTTGCTTAAATTCTACCGTAATAAATTATAATAAGTGGTTCTTGTCTGTTATTGATCAACATTGGTTCAACAACAAAGAGTTTATAACTGATGCATACACGTTTATCCGATGCTCCATAATAACGACATATTGCACGAATAATCCTTTAGTGAAGAAGCACAGCGTAAATGAGATGAAAGAGACGGTTAAATTAAGAAACTATTTTGATTGCCTCATAGAGATAAACCAGAACTGAATCAAGTTGAAAATTATTTTCTTTAGATGATGTTATTGTTGTTAAGCGGCGCCTCGCCAGAAATAAAAGTCCGTACTAGCAAAAGTCGCGTAAGTAGACATAGCGGCCCAAGTAGACGTGACGGTCCATTTCTCTTTTGTGATTGGTGAGTTTAGCTTGAAAAAAATATAACTCAGTACTCGCTGCAGTGAGTGACAGAGAGCGCATTTACTCGTCGACGAAAACTTGAGGTCACGGACGGACGGACGGACAGACAGACAGACGGACATGGCAAGCACAATAGTGCATTTTTTGCATTAATGAGAAAATGCGCTAAAAAGCGTAGCCCACTGGTGGTTATTCCGCGACCTCTGGTTTGAATTCTCAAGTTGATAACTTGAATGGGAAAACTTGAATGATCAAGTTTTCCCATTAATGAACCCCGTATATAAATTAACTCGCAATGAATTTATGTACGTTTACCAAAAAAAAGTGAGCATCGTCTTTTTATTATGGTTCTTTGTAGGATATGTTGGTATATTCTCACAGAAACGTGAAAGGAAAATTATCCTTGGACCCTTCCAACTTCGACGCCATTAAAGATATCGTTTCTGTTATAAGTTGAGCAGCAAACTACCGTAGCTGATTTCAGTCGATAGCTGCAAGTTTCGTCAATACTTTGGAACGTACTTTTTTTGTAAGAAAAAGTTGTGGGTGATGTTGACATTTCAACCAAAAATTTGGGCAAATGCTGACTGGGCACTTGACGCGAATTGAATGATTTTCTTATAACCAAGGGAAAGTTGTATTTTCATAAAAGTTAATGTAGTGCATCCGAACAAATCCACAGTTGAACCTAATAGGACACCACACCTGAGTTTACGTCTTTTGCAAGTCATGCAAGTGCTTCACACATTGATGCAAGTTTTATCCGAAAAATATTTTCTAGCGTAATATTGGATATATTTTCGATATTTATCTTCCATCACATTCAATTTTTGAAATTTTATAATTTTTTCTCATTTAGAATAAAATTTTCTGAAAGATGCAGTAAATACAGAAGATCTTGTATACCTGTAACATAGCAGATGACCGCCACGGGAAATAAATACTAAAATAAGCACCTGAACTTCTAGATCTAGGAGATTAACTACGCAAATAATTTATTGCCAGGAAAAGGAACGTAAGAAATTTTCCTTAAAACTAATAGAGAAAATGTTTGAAAATTTCTCGAATGGATATACTCACGCTAAGTGTTCTATAAAGACGACAATGTGATGGAGATGAAGCCTGAAGATTGTTTTGTACAGCCGTTGTGCGCTTCAATGGAAATGCAACTCTAAATAGCAAAGCAAAGAACAACGTTCCGTATAGGTTTTTATAAAGCTGGATTTTAATTATCTACAACCTGTTTTTTAGTTTTTCAAGGTAAATTGTTTGGTAGAACTGCCCCAATAACATTGGCATTTACTAGCCTGCGATGCTCAGCTCCCAATTTTGAGGGAAAACTATAAAAAATACAATATAAATACAATTGGAATATAAACAATCTAACTGGGAATTAGATTTCTGATTAGTTTCTGACATTATTATTGCGAGATATTATCTACTGTGATGTGGGTTTTTTTTACTGAAATAGTTTCAAGTAAAATTTGTATAACTTTAGTATAATTATTTTCCTCTAAAATAAATATCCCCTTTAACTTTTTCCTATACCAGCTGTCACGTTTAAATTAGGAATTACGAAATAATTATATAAAGTATTGATAAATCTAGCATAAGATATATTGCTTCAAAAAAATTGAGTGAGGAATATGAATAGTTTTTCGTGGGTTGTAAAATTACAAGCGATTTAAAAAACTTCGCTGTGCAGAGTGGTCGTTAAATAACGTTCTACAAGACTGCTTACACTTTCTATCTGATTGGAAGCCTGTCGTTAAAGTAGTAGAAAAATTCGACCAGTCTCGCAGATTTCTTATCAAACGCACGCATAATATAAACAACATATTTGCCTACGTGCGTCGAAATCACTTCATGACACTTGGTTCAATTCAAACACCACTTTTACAATAGTGTCGCTGAGTAGCGTTCAACTTGGTTCAATTTCACCAACTATTCACTTCAATCACTCGTAAACCAGCGTTTGTATATAGCACTTTACAGGCTCACTACTGCACCGTGTTCACACAAAATTAGGCACTGGTTAGTGAAAAATTGTCACTAGCTAGTGACAAATCGTCACTTGCCAGTGTTTGACACAGGCCGAGTTTGGGTGATAAACTGTTTTGTAACAACTTGACACCAGCAGCACCCTGAGATTTTCAACTTTGGCTAGGTGGTTAACTGAAACTTGAGCTAAAACTCAATTTTGAAAAGATCAGGAACCATCGTATAAGTAGAGGATGAAAAAGATCTATTAAAATGAAGAAAATACAAATTGTTATTAGGCAACAATGTGAATTTCTTCATTATGAATACATTTTAGCCCTATCATTTCCTGTGGCTGTGAGCCAATAGAGAGCTCGGGTTTCAAAGACCACAGCATTAGGGTTCTATTTCGTTTAAGATTTGGCAAAATGTGAATGGGATCAAATTAATTCCGCACCCATGAGGGGAAAATAGTTATGGATGTCTTTGTTAATTCGTGCGTATTTAATAATCAAGCAAACGTAATGTACTGAAATTTCGCAGAGCTAATATATTGAAGCGGCTTTGATTGCTTGGAGAAGTCAAAAAAAGGATCACAATATAAGTCTTGTAACTGATGTTTGTCTGGCATTACCAATTTAGCCGCTAGATGGGGAGTGCTGAATTGCGCGATTCCAAGTTTGCTACACAAATTACCGAAGTTGATAACTTAACTTAATCGTACCAAACGTATCACACCGCGTTAACTTTAGTGTGGTATCCTCCTCATGAAACGTGGTTTGCAAATTTGGATTCACACATTCGGGAAGCTTCTGTGTGGCATACCCCCAGGTGTGTGATTTGTCAAGTTTGATATACACTTAGGCGGGAAACTTGTGTGGCTGCTTAAGTTGGATTCACACAGGCGGATAACTTCTGTGTGGCAGTTTGAGTTGGATTCACACAGGCGGATAACTTCTGTGTGGCAGTTTGAGTTGGATTCACACAGGCGGATAACTTCTGTGTGGCAGGCCTCCAGGAGTGTGATTGGCCAAGTTTGATTTCGAAGGCCCAGGCAAAGGCTCTAAGCTGTCTGGCGTAAAAGTCGTAGTTTGATGTTGTAAGCCACTGCTGCTGCTGTGCCCTCGTAACAAGGAACTACCAGAGGAACCAACACCACCTCTACTCTCTCCTACCATTCTTCCTCCTACCACTTGATGGAAGGTATGCATATGGTGAGAGGAGCTGGTATCGACAGTCGAACTCTCGCTCAGCACTCGGCCGTACCTCGGCCAGCCGTAGCCGCTGATGACCGCAAGTACTAAGGATACGACGCCACTGGCGCACCCACACAACTGTAATGCAATAATTTGTAATAGTTCAAAATTCATATTAATATAAAAATTAATCATTAAAATAATTCATTGAAATATAAATCAATAGTATCTTTTGTTATAGTTCATAATTATAATGGATATATAATTTTCAGTGGAAATTGAGATTTACTTCGTTTTTCATTGTAAAAATTCCATCTTTTTTTAAAGGTCTCGTGCAATTATCATTTAGCTTATTCCGAGTTTAACAATTTGTTGTTTTAATTTTCTAACTACTTTACGGGAAACCTCGCGAGTTTTCGTTAAAATGAATAAATTTGATTAAATGTATGTGTACTTAATAATTAAACAAACATTATATACAAATAAACGGTTGACAATTAATATTTTAACCGAACCTTCATTAATCTAGGAATTATAAAATCAAGGTTTTCAAAGATGATATGAATTTTGAGTTATTCGAATAAAATAAAACATACGTATTGATACCTTATTAAACATATTAGGTACCTTATGACTATTATACTATAACACTGGTAAATGCACTATTGTTTATAACGCTACATTTTCCATAAAAATGTATGGTCTATTTTAGACACTCAAGTTGTACTCCAGGATAAAATTCTACAAAATAAGTCCAAATTTACTTCGTCTAGTACAAAAATGTTGGCATGATGTGAACTAATTTATTAAAGGGAAGTAGTCAAAATCTTATTCTATGTCAGGGTGAAAAAATCATGGAGGTTCCTTCCGAATGAAACATTTGTTCATCTGAATTGAGATCATGACGAATAAAATACGAAGATTATTTACATCTGTTGATTATTTATAAAAGCCAGGAAGAATTCCGTCCATTGACAATTCAAATGATTATAAAAAGTTCTATTGAAGGAAAATAGAAATTTGCATTCAGTTAAGGAAGTGGGGTTCTTCACTGTTTTGGCATAACCGAAAAATGGAGATATCAAATTGAATTCTTTGATTGTTGTTAATTTCATGTTTCGACATTGAAAATGAAATATATGAACTAAATTTTGGAAGTTGCAACACAGAAAACCATATAGCAACGATTGCATGGTTTTCAGAAATGCAACTTGTCTTAAGCGTCTTATTTAGCTATTTCACTGACAGCTAACAATTGATATTAAAAAGTCAGTCTACATTCTAAAATATTTCACAGACTTTCAAAGGTTTTTAAAAAACTGTAAAAATCGAGGTGCTTCAAAAAATACCTCGTATATGGAGATAATACACCAGTTTAACTGCTGATGATACACAAAAGTTAATTATTATCATGCTAGCATTTTCATATACGCTGGCAAGAAAATGTATGGGTATGAAAAAATTCCAGCATGGATCAACAGACACGTAAACCGTAGATAACTAACTCATCTTTCATTACTCACCATGGACATCCCTATGGCAATAGAAGGGAAATCGTTAGCAAGCAAGCTACGAAACTTGCCGGTTCAAATGTTTCGTTGAAATTGTGCATGAAAGTCAGCAGCTGAAAATTAATTCATTCAACAGTATAGGACTTTGTTGATGCAGATTGAGGATGATGATGATTTTACGAATAAAGAAAATGATATTAATTATAACTTCTGTCAATGATGAACGTACAAGTCATTATACAATGACCTTTTGAAATCATTATGTTGATTATGATCTTCATTAATGATGATATCAGTTGGTGCCTGAGAGCTAATCACAAATATTAGGGAAGTACGAGGTGGTAGAATGTATATAGATAACTAAAACAAATTAAGGGTTCAGTAAAAAGTGGATCGTAAAATGTATAAATGTATGTAGAAACGAAATCTAAGGAAAAGCAACATATCAGCATGAAAAGAAGGCATCAAAGGAAAGATACAGACAAAATTCGTTGGAAACGTTATTGGAGTATAAAAATTCGTAAATAAAAGAGATTAATATCGTTATAGTATGTAGATAAATGTCGTTTATTGTTCGAAGAATAATACTAAAGAGCGCAAATGTTCAACATTGATCATACAATATGTGCAAATAAAACGAGAAAAAATGCTTAACATGATGAAAAAAATTGAAGAGCTGTAATCACAAACATTACACGGAAATAAGTCTAAAAATTCGAGTGGAAATAAGGACATCCACCGAAAGAATCTTTGAGGAAAGATATATACGGCTGACGGATGTAATTAGTATTAAAAGATTTTTCCTGGAAAGAAATATATATGGCTGTCAGATACTTATAAAAAACTAAATATAACTGACTGATGTGGTGAGTAGCTGTTGTTTGGTCCATGCAGGTATCCACTGGTAGGAGGTGTGGTAGAGGTGCAGCAGGTGCAGCAGCAGCGACGAAGAACACAGGAAACTCAGGCAGCAAAACGCGTACACGCCCGTCACCTGGTGGACGAATTTTGTACTATTTAGGAAAAATACACTGTTTAGTAAAGTATAGTAAAATATATGATAAGTGTGGTATAGTACTTACCTAGTAAGTATTAGTCAATTTAGTCAGATATTACTAAACTATAGTCTATGGTGCTGTATTAGTAAAGTATTTTCGGCGCTGACGTACAGGCCAAGTTTCTTCTGTAGTCAAGTCTTGAAAATAGATATTATTTAACATGCACGGTAGATTTTCTTGAAAGATATGAAATGTCCCGAAACAATGACGATCGCAAGTTACGTGTACGAACAATTTTAAGGGAAAATTTGGCGAAAGGAATTTTGAATTTCGCAAGCTCTGGTGAAAATGAGTAGCAAGACTATTAATTTAACTAAGTTGAAATAATACGGCGTTTGGAAAAAAGTGCGAAATAGATTACAGTAATTTGCTCTCACAACATAGCGATCTTAATATCTCATTTAAAAAACTAAACAGATCACGTTATTTGCTTTGACCAGTCCATCCCATCTGATTGCAATGGAGCAAAACTGAATAAAGTCACCAATCAGTTGTAACATTTGTCGATTAAAATAATTTGTATTAGAAAACATTTAACATTATCCTATTAAAATAATTAAATAAATCACAAAAATTTGCTCTGACCAGTCTATCCCAACTGATTGCAATGGAGTAAAACTGAATAAAGTCACCAATCATATTTAACATTTTTCTATCAAAATAATTTTTAATAGAAAACATTTAACATTATCCTATTAAAATGATTAAAAAGATCACAACAATTTGCTCCGACCAGTCTATCCCATCTGATTGCCATAGAGTAGAACTGAATAAATCGTCACCAATCATCATTTAACAAAGAATCTGTCATCGTGATTTTTTTTATATTAAAATAATTAAAAAGATCACAATAATTTGCTCTGACCAGTCTATCCCATCTGATTGCCATAGAGTAAACTATAGAGGAGACGTGTAGCAACAACAAGACTGTGGTGGTGAGGATGGTGAAGACTGAAGTGAAGAGCATCACCCGCACTCTCCACCCTCCCGGCAACACGAACAAACTCAGTCGTGACGTGCCGACTGTACACGCGCACGTCATCGTCACCACAGACAGCACCTGTGGTGAAAACTTGTGATACTCTCTGTGATGACTTCTTTATAGTATAGTGAAGTGTAGTATAGTATAGTGGAGTGTAGTATAGTATAGTGTAGTAGTGTAGTGTAGTGTAGTATTGTATAGTGTAGTACAGTATAGTGTAGTGTAGTATAGTATAGTGTAGTGTAGTATAGTATAGTGTAGTGTAGTGTAGTATGGTATAGTGTAGTATAGTATAGTTTTGTAGTATAGTATAGTAGTATAGTATAATAATATAGTATAATAATATAGTATAGTATAGGATAGTATAGAATTGTTTGGTAAAGCATAGTCTAGGATAGTATAACATAGTATAGTAATCTTCGGCGTTGACGAATAGGCCTGTTTAGGCATGTCACAGATTCTTGTACTTTATGATTCTAAAGGAGTAGAGCAAACGTAGTTAGGACATTAAATATATTGTGGTGAGAAGCCTATTTATTGCATCGGCACAAAATTACGCCGCTTTCTGTGGTTACACCTTGTATAATATGGAGGAATGAAAAAAACTTTTTAGTGAAAATATACGATGAGAAGTTTATTCCTCCAACGCCATGATAAATCAAGGAGGCATTACCGTAAGTTTTGCAGAAAGAAAGGATCCAATAACGGTAGGAATATATCGCAAGCAAGAAACTAGGTCATTTTTCACCAGTCAATTGGGTTAAGTTAGCACTTTCCTTTATCATATCCCAGAATTATTAGCTATTAATTCTAAAATTTTTAAATTTTGAACATTAATCAAGTAAAAACTGAACAAAGAGCATAAATATTAGTGATTTATTGGATAAATAGCTTTTATACCAACCACCAGAAGTAATCTGAAGATGCCCACGGAGGTTTTGAGATGGGAGTCGTCCCACGCTATCGTAATTGTAGGCACGGGCCTTGGAAAGTTCCTCGAAGAAAATTCCCCCCCGGGACTGGCACAAGGATCGCTGTCATCATCTTCAGGCTGGCGACCCGCATGCGAGTCCCACGATAACCTTGAATCACTTCTCGAGAGCGTTTCAAAATCTCGTGAGAGAAGCTCGATGTCGTGCTGCATGTCGAGATCAGGGTGAGACGATTGGATCGTAAAAGATTCCCAGTCAGAAGTCCAGGGTCGACATTCCAGCGCTTCGATGTCCCGTAAAAGTTCTTGTACTTCATCGTACCCACAAATATCAGAAAATGAAGGAACTTCTCTTTTTAATCGAGACGTTGCCGACCCGAGGTCATCAACTGTACAAATGGAGCCGCTAACAAGCGATCCCCTCGAGCCAAATCTCGAATTTGATCTTGATACCTGCCGCGAGCCCGGTTTGTTCGAGACACCTGACCTTATAGATCCCGAAGCTCGAGACAAAACCGAAGGTCTTGATCCCGAGCTGTAGGATCTGTGGTTAAATATTTTAGGTCTGGCACCCCCCGGCCACCTGTTGGCGAGGAAGGGACCAGACCCGCTAGTCGAAGGTCTCGAGTCAGAAGGACGCGACATGACGTCCTCATTTGACTGGACCATGGCGGAGGTGGTGGGTCCTTCCTTCCACCATCACACTGCCCCGTCCTCATCTGAGTGCCCGACACCATCCACCCTTGAAGAGTCACGAGAATATTTAGTATGCCAAATAATAACGAGATTATATAGTATACTAACGCCATCTGACTTCCTTCCACCATCACACTGCCCCGTCCTCATCTGAGTGCCCGACACCATCCACCCTTGAAGAGTCACGAGAATAGTTAGTATGCCAAATAATAACGAGATTATATAGTATATTAACGCCATCTGAGAGCCTGACACCAACCACCCTTGAAGAGTCACGAGAATATTTAGTATGCCAAATAATAACGAGATTATATAGTATATTAACGCCATCTGAGTGCCCGACAACATCCACCCTTGAAGAGTCACGAGAATATTTAGTATGCCAAATAATCCCCATATTATATAGTATACTAACGCCATCACACTGCGCCATCCACATCTGAGTGCCTGACACCATCCACCCTTAAGAACAACCACCAGGATATTCAGTACACAGATGAATCCCAAGGAAAAATGACGTCAGACATTATAATAATTCTTATTCAACTTATTTCATCTAGTAAAATACGACAAAATAATTTATTGAGTTACCAACAAATCCTGAGGTTTCAGCACGGTGGACATTTAAATCTTTCTAATTCAAATTACTTCATTACGTAAAATAATCTACTTGCCATTCAAGCCTTACTGATGCAATTATTTTTTTTAATGCTGAAACAAATTGATTAATGAAAATCCTGTAAATAATATGTTTATCACGCATTTTTAATTTATAAAAGAATTTGAGATGTTGAAAACATAGTTTAACAGTGATTTAATGTTCATCTTATTGCATTTATCGGCTTCCTACCTACGTCCAGCTATGCGAGTTGGTTGTAGCATCGACTTAGTTCTTTTATCGACTAGGAACGCAACTCACAAGTGCCTTTTAAAGGTCGACGACCATCAGCAAACAAGTGAATCTATTTCTGTTCCCTCTATCATTCGTTTAAATTAAGTGCGAGTCATAAATTGAAATTGATATTTATGTGGTAACTTAGAGATTGTTTATTACTAATTTAATTTAGGTACATTCTAGGATAATTAGTCGCAAAAAGCAAATACATAAACGAAGAAAAAATTAAAAACGAATTTGATATTAATAACAAGTTAAACATGGAAACATAATGAAAATTCAAGAGTGGTTTGCTAGTATGTTGCTTATTTTATATTGCATTCATTCAAAGATACTGCTTGATGATTAACTAAAATGTCACTTGTGGGTCAGCATAGTGCAAAAAGTAAGTTAAATCTCAGGTGCAATTTCCCTAGACTACAGACAAGCTCGCGCTATATCTTGCATATGCTTCGTAAATAGCAAGCCAATCAAAGGCTTAATTCTATTAGCACGAATAAATGCGAAGCACACGTGTTATTGTTGCACACCAAGAAATTTATTTTAAAACGCCATAAAATTGATCAAGAAAGACATAAAATTTGATATACAAAAGATGAAAAATGTATTACGCAAAAACAATTATTAGGAAATAATTTTTTTGACTCGAACTGGTCGATTAATTTTAATTCCAATGAAAATTTCTGTTAAAACTTGGAAGACCACACTGCTCTGTACTCGATAGAAACGCATTCAATCACAAACTTTAATTTTTAAAGATGTCAAATTTTTTTTCCAGCCCGAGGTTCCTTTCTATAATTATTTACACTGTTTCAACTTCAATAGTTTTTATTTATAAAACAATCAAGAATGACTATCCGAGTGATTAACATTAAATTCTCAACAAAATAAAAGCAAATTTACTCTAGCTCAAATCCTAACGTAAACCCACACTTTGAGGTCATACACTACAAGCTAATATCCAACAATAAAAAATCACGCCTTAACAACACACAGGAAGCTTTCATAATTTCAAATTACAAGAATATTTTCTCCTAGAAAGAGCCAAAACACGTCTAAATCAAAGATCACCTGAGTTAGTGCTGGCGCGACCATCATTGATAAGTGAGTCGTCGTCTGCTAGCAGGACGAGCTCCTGCGCTCATTGACCAGCGGCGGCGTTCACAGAAGGATTTTTCTTCTTGAATGTTTCTGCGTTCTTAAAACATCATTTTTATTATTTAATAGCTTAAGAGTGCGCATGGTGTATGAGTATAATGCACGAGATTGAAAATTTAACAATCATCGATAATTCTCATTACTTCGGTCAATTATTTTGATTGAGACAAGTTGCTTAGTGAACGTGAATCTGGACATGATATCGTACGTCACAGCCCTGTGCATCCCACAGTCAACTTCTTACACTGAATTGCGAGTATATTAATTAAAATCTAACTATCTATAATAAAACCCGTAATGAAATTGCGAATATTGGTCATCTATTTATAACACAAGAAAACAAAAATTATATTTTAGTCAGCTTTATCTTATTATGAAAATTCTGCAGTGAGAGCAGCGCCATCTAGTGAGCTTCTCGTACCGCTCTACGCCACGGTAACTCGTGAGTAACAACAGTGAGGCTTAACCTTGACGGAGAACACGGTTAATCGTAAATAGTAGTATAGGTTAATCGAATTGCTAAGTCAATTTAAAAAAAATGAAATCTTTAAAATATAAAAAAACGCTTTAGGATAGAAATTTTCAGTTTATAGACCATTCTTCCTAACATCGTGTCGATCATACTATTAATAAATATAATTTACAAAAACATTTCAAATATATATCTGGATTTTCTGGAATTAGCAGTCGCTTCGAAATATAATTTATTGACAAACAAAATTGACTAAACGGCAAGCGCCAATTGACTAAATATCTGGATTTTTTCACATAAATGCATATATGCTGCCGACAACCTTACAACAAGAAGTAATGCAGAATGGAATTTACACTTGCATGAATTAGCAGTCGCTTCGAAATATAATTTATTGCCAAACAATACTAACTAAATGGCAAGCGCCAAGTAAACAAAATGTAGTAACTATCTTAATTAAGGTGATCCCAGGTTTCCCAAAGAGCTTAAATGCGAGGGTAGTGCGCTTGAGTTTTTTTTTAGTTCAGGCTACGTATTATCAAAACTCTCAAGTGCATGTTGTGGCCTAAGGATACTTGACGCCGAGTTCTCGTCTGTGATTAGTGGGTCTAGCTGAAAAGCCTTTAGTAATTGGCTGACGGAGTTACGAACTCGAAACTATTTTAAAATTACGGCCTCAAAGAGCGTGATTGGTGATTGAATCAACGGGATTGAAGGGATTTTCAAATAAAATAATGACGTCACATTAACATCAGCCAATCAATTACGTCAGAAATATTGGCCGATGTTAAAAAAATTAGATCAGTACTCACTGCAGTGACAGAGAGCGCATTTTCTCGTGACTGTTCTCGTGAAGTTACGGACGGACGGACATGACGAGCACAATAGCGCCTTTTTTTCGTAAATGAGGAAATGCGCTAAGAAGATAATAACGTCCAATTAACATCAGCCAATCCTCAGCCAAGTTTATTGCACCGATCATAAATGTGAATTTATCATATACGATTATTGCTGCACGTAAGAACACCATTAGAACTTTTAAAAGACCGACTACTAACAGTTTAAGTGAATAAACGCCTTGTGTACGGATACGTTCGCGTTCAGACGTGGTACAAAATTCATAATCGCTCTTCGAGCGTTCAATCATTAATGGAGAGTTTATACATCACTGATATTTTCGATTTAAATAATATCGCGTTTGATTTAAAACCGTCAGCCCAACGGTTATATAGAAACTAACAGATAAACTATTTAAAAAGATAGATTTTCTCTAGTTAGGCTTCTGTGAATACTTATAACCTACAGAAACACAGAAAAATCATTGGAATATTCAAATCACACGTCATTCGCTTCGTAACCCCATCCTCCCTCTCTTTAATACGTCACACTAAAAGCCGCAACGTCATTATGGCGTCACGCCGCCAGAACATTACAGATGGCTGAAGTCATGATAAGGTCCTGTAACGTCAATAACGACATCAATAGCGACGTAACACCTCGGCAACCACGCCACTTTATACAAAAATTGCAGATCTTTCAACTTGTAGAAGAGTCGGTAAATCTGAACCTCAGTGTCACATCGGTAACGACATCAATAACGACATAATGTATACCTCGGTGTTATGTCACCGTCCAAAAGAAATAGCAAGGACTTAGTCATATAAATATAGAAGAATAGAAATACTGTAATGCACACAGAAACATGAATATGTAATATTGCCCATATAATAACACTTTCGTACACACAGCACAAGCAGCGAGCGGACGTATCACTGATACGCCCAAACCGGCTAAATACCAACACAAGGGCAAAATATGCATCGCTATTTGGACAAAGACTCGCTAATTTCTCTGAGTAAGAGCTGGAAGCACTCGGGTAGGCCTTGGCCCGAAATCAGCGCAGGTCAAGAATGGACATTTAGGCCGCCATTGGACTTGCGATTTGACCAACGGAAGCCGCAACCTGGGCCAGAATTGCGGGACTGAACTCTGACCCTTGCATGTCGGTCGATCGTGATAAGCCTTCATATGAACAAACCAGGATACCTGCTCAGTAACCTTGACTCAGAAATATTCATACAAAATCGCTAAAGTTTGAATTGTATGAATGTACTTCTTTATGCGGGTGGATAAGTAATGGTGCTGTAAACAGAAAGTTAGGAATAGCGGAACGTTAGGATAATGATAGCGGAAAGTTAGGATTGGGACAGCGGAAAGTTAGGATTAACCCGGTTATGCATCAAAGGCCATTTTTTAATTTGGAATGAACTTGGGCTATTTCCCTGCTGTAATTATTCAGTGTCTCAATAATGTTCTCCAACGTTATGGAGCCTTCGCAATATTTTCTTATTCTACTGACCTAGGCAAAGTAGCTAAGGCCGCAAATCAGGTACGCGTCGAAGACAAACAACACGCATATTTAACAATTAATTTTAAGACTTCATTTCTGCAGGTAGCAAACCTCTTAGCTTAGGGTAAATTGGGTTTTGGTAGGAGTACTTCACTTCATTTACC